TAGAATAGTTGATAATTTTATATTTTTTAAGTAAATAAAAATGTATAATACCTAACAGTAACACATTATTATAGGGTTTCTGTTGAACGAGCTCGTGGAACACCAAGGGGTAGCGATGTTTGGCGTGGTTCAGGACGAGGTGGTGATTTACCACCACCTCCACCAAGGCGTCCTCGTCGTGATGCTAGGTATGTATTAAGAGTTTGGTGCAGTTGTCCAAAAAATTATAAAGATTCTTATACCACCATTGATCAATAATCCATCAGTGATGTATTATCTATGTCCAGGATCTGTACTTGATGCACTTAAAAAGTACTAAATATGTATGCAATTATGTGCTTAAAATAGTACAAATATGCTCTTATATTTTATTTTTTTTCACAAATATTTTATAAACTTATAAATATTTAAAAAGGAAATAACATTATGCCGTATTACAACACAAGACTATTTAAACAATTTGTCGCAGATTGTTTGGTTTTTGACATAATGAAATAAAAATGTATAGGTAATTGAAACAAAACAACGAAGTGTGCAACTACAGCTTAACATGAAAGTGTAAGTCAAAATATCTAGGTGGGATAGGTCTAATTTTGCYATAAATATATAATCATTAAATAGCTAACCTAACTAGTATTTACTAAGTATTTACAGAATCATCATATTTTGATTGCAGTTGTTTCTATTCTAGATAAATCTAGCTGTAGTTGTGATTTATAAAAAAATATAYATTACATTACTCAATAGGGAAAAAACATTGTTTTTAATGTTAAATRAAAATTTGAAAAATACTACTAGGATATCTATATAATACTAGTAAGTTTTCTCAATATGAATGTATTTATTTTTATATACACGCATTTTCATACTGAATCATCAGAAATAATAAAATAGGTTCTAAAAAAAATGTAAAATTAAGAAATATGCTCTATTATCTAACAATCACAAAGTATGCACTATAAACTTTTGATATGTTTTTCTTATTGTCTTGGAATGAATTTCTGACTCATTTAGCAATAAATCTAATGCTTTATATATATATATATGTATATGTATATACAAACGCAACAACTTACGAGCCCTACTCTACTACAAACCTACCTATCAGATTCTTTCAACGTCTTCACTTGAGAAGGATAAAGCATATTTAGCACACAACTCCCGGGAAGTGGCATGTCCAGATTTTTTTTTGTTCAGGATTAGATTTAGATATGCCCAATAATCTATTGATAATTTAAAACATCCATACAAATTTAGTGTAGGGTGCTGCAAACAAGAATAAAGAAGACCACTGATATAAATAATAATAATTTCATAATCTTATTTATTTATTTACTTATCTTTTTCATTTATTTCATAATAATAAATTCATAATTTCATATGTTTTTGTATAATGTTTTATTGTTGGTTGATTTGTATGTTTAGGGATGACAGAAATGATAGGTATGGTCCACCAACAAGAACAAATTATAGATTAATTGTTGAAAATTTGTCAAGTCGTGTTAGCTGGCAGGTAAGAAATCATATATATGTTGGTTTATGTTAGGTATTTAATGATTAATTTATTTAGATCTGTGATGTTTTAGAATATTTTTTTGTTTTGCCAATTGTTAATTTTGGAAATTATCTTATTTATTTGAATGTCTTCTGAACTTTTTTTCACATATGGTTTGTTTTTGTGAGGTGCTGATAAACGTTCAATCATTAAATTATCTGAGGAAAGAGCCTGCAATTCTATTAAGGTTTAACAATATTGTAATAAATAGCTTTGCTATCTATAAAAAATCAAAACTATTTTGCTGTTCACTTTATTACTCAATTATTACAAAAATAATAAATTGTGTATGTTATACTAATATTTATTTTTAGTATAATCAAGTGAATGGTAGTTTAAGTTTGTTTTAAGAAAACAACTTAATTTAATCGTAATAAAAAAAAAAAAATTATAAAATTTAAAATTAAAAAAAAAAAAATCAAAAAATGTAATATTATTTTTCTAAAGAGCCACCACAATGTGTTGGGTTCGATCGATGTCCATACCAATGACATTAAACGCTTGATCGTTGGCCGATAACATAAGAGTGGCACTATGAGGTACATAGGCCAATACCACAAAAGATCAAAGTACAATATCACACATTCCATTCCGGGCCTAGGATGATCGGCCTAACCACAAAAGGTGTTCCCAACCATACAAGCCGATCAGCTGCCTAATTTGGTTAACCCCCCATTCATGTCGCCCCACACATGGTCCGAGACCGAGTCGCTTTTCAATACCATTCCATGTGTTTAAGAGGTATGTATTTAAATAATAACATAAACAATGTTTGGTATTTGCTAGGCTATTAAAATAAATTTTTAAACAATATTATTTTAAAAATATTAAAAGAAATTAATAACAAGTTAAGGATCTTAGAAGATGCAGTAATGAAAATTCTTTATCAGTCATCAAAACAACAAGGCCACACGATCATCAAAAGCACTAAAATCAAAATCAACGTAACCCATTATGTGTAAAACCATCTTCAGTTCACTAACAGCAAATGAGCACTTCCCATCATTAATTCATTTCAAGTGAAGTCTTCCGAAAGCAATCCCATTTTAAACTTTATAAATTGTTCTTGGCGTAGAATTATTAATTTAGTAATAAGAATATAATTTGTATATGTAAATGTATATTTATAACTACATAATGTTCCGTATTTTTTTATTCTTATTAATTTGTTTGGTCATAGGATTTAAAGGACTTCATGCGCCAAGCTGGGGAAGTTACTTATGCTGATGCTCATAAACAACGTAAAAATGAAGGGTAAATATTTGAAAAAAAAAAAAATCATAAATTATTTAAGATTTATATTAATTTTTTTTTTTTTTAGTGTTGTTGAGTTTGCATCTTATTCGGATCTTAAAACTGCATTGGATAAGTTGGATGATACAGAATTGAATGGACGTCGCATAAAGCTCTTAGAGGACAGAAGTAGCAGTCGCGGTCGTGGTGGAGGCAGACGAAGTCGTAGTCCTTCAAGTTCTCGTTCTCGTTCAAGATCTAGGTCTCGTTCTCGTCGACGTGTACGCTCTCGTTCAAGGTGAGATCTAATGCTTTAATTAACTTAATTAATTTTACATTTATTTTTTATACAATTATTATTTTTCATTAGAAGCAGGTCACGAAGCCATTCCAAGTCAAAGTCTGAGTCTCGTTCGAAATCTCCTTACAAGTATGTGTACCATTAAACATATTAATTTTTTTTTGTCTTAGGTTCAAAAGTATTGATTACTAATTTTGTTCTCACTTGAATTCTATCATAGAGTTAATAATTAAATTATACTTATATTTTAATTTTAATTTACAAATGTAAATTGGTTATTTATCATGTTTTGATTAAAAGTGCTATTTTAAATACAAATATTTTATATATCATACTTAAAATGTGTCCTTAAAAGAGTTATAATTTATATTTTATGTTAAAAATTAGATCAGCAGTTCATTCTAAGTATGTGTACTACTAAACATAATAATTGAATTATACATTTTAATTTTAATTTACCTATATGACTGTATCAAACTTTAGACTAAAAATTTAGTTTTGAATATGAATATTATATATATTATACTTGAAATTTTGACCTTAAATAAGATAACTTAMATTTTATTTTAAAAATTTAGATCACCAGCTCATTCCAAATCACGTTCCCGCTCAGGTTCTATAGATAAAAAGAGGTCTCAGTCACGTTCACAATCAATATCTAATAAGCGTATTAAGTAAGTCCCACTACACTTCACTAAAAAAATGTGTAATACAATTTATTTATAGTTTTCTATTTTATTATAAATGTTTTTAGAAGGGTAGATTACAAAAATCTTTCATACTCCATAGATAATAGATAATAAATAATAATTATCTTTATAGGAATGCTACATAGACATTTGTTGTTTTTGTTTTACAAAAGCGTAACATAAAAATTAACCTTGTACATTTTATAAATTAGAGTGAATTTAATTTAACTGTAAGCACATTGTTTGTATGTGAGTTTTTACAATAATTCAGTTTTTAATTTACAGTTAATTGTATATGTAACAAATTTAGGTATTGTAAAACCCCATTTTTATAAACAAATAATTTTCTTACTGTCAAGTTTCATAATAGACTAATTTACTTAAAGTTGTCCAGTTATTCATTTCTTAGATTAAGACTGAATATGCTTGTGTAATGTCTTCATTAAAATATGTATGTGTTTAGTATATTATGTCATGTGATAATCTGTAATAATTTAATGATAAGKTGACGGTAATCAAAAGTAGCATTTTATTAAAATTAAATTGAGCTGTTTTATCTTAATATTCCATAAATATTTGTTGAATACCTAAAATTTCTGTCCAAAAATTAATTTTTATGAAATTTTTCGATAAATACAATGTTATTGATTTATTTKAGTAAATGAACTTAAATATTTTTTTTTATTCTAGGCGTGATTCACGTTCACCTGATGAAAAATCTCGCTCTCCATCAAGAGAAAAGAATGGTGATGCCAGTCCACAGTCAGGAGACGATTAGAGATACACATTGAATCCTCTATTATTATAATTTTTTTATATTTAACAATTCAATCTTTTTCTATCCAGTTTAACTTAATTTACACTTAATCTAACCATTTGACTAGGTAATATTTATGTTCAATGCCGTAGAGATAAAGTACCAATTATCGATTTTACAGAACATTTTGTATTTGAGACTTAAGATTATATTTGAAGAAACATTTATGAATGTTGGTGTTTGACAAAAAACCCTATTCATTTGCGACAAAATGAATTGAAAATGTAAATGGTATTTTTTTTCATATAAGTTCTAAAGTAATCACTTATTTTATTTGTATGATGTGTGTATGAAGATTATATACTTATAAATAAGACATAATGTGTTCTATAATGATTAATTAATAGTATTCCCTTCCATTACACTGATAAGATTATGTATAATAATCTTGCCTCTTTCCTACCTGGTCATTAATTTAATACTTCAAGGTGGGGTCAGTTTAAAAACTTGTTTTTAATAAATACGTAGAAGTATAGAACCAGTTATTCAGCTATTAGTGAATAACAAGGTTCATCTTGCCGAATATTATTAACCAAATATATATTGTAGTTGTTTTATTTATTTGTACTTATGCATACTTTGTTACTTCCGTGTGTCTTTTAACTTTTTTAATTAATAAAACACCTTTGGATACAATGAAAGGCAAGTGATTTAATTTAACTCAATATAACTTATTCAATTTTTAAATACAACATTTTTATTTTTTATTTTAGATATTTTATTTTTTATCATTTGTTCGGTTTTTGCTGTAGTAGTACTTTCTGCTACTAGTAGATCTCAAGTTAATGCTAATGCAAAAGACAAATTACAAACTCAAAAAGTGTCTGATWACAATGTGCCAGATTTTCATGCTTTTAATTGGAGATTGTGCAAAGTACTCTAAACAATTAAAAAGTGATTTTCGTGATAATCAAATTCATTTTCTTAATCAATAGGCTTTGCATGATGTTGAGAAAAATAATGCAGTTATATCTTCTATAAGTGTTAAGTTGGTGCTGTTGATGTTATATGAAGGAGCTCTAGGAACTACAGCTAAACAGATAGAACAAATTGTTGGAATAAGTGGTCGTAAGCAAAATATAAGAGAACGTTATTCACAAAAATTGCAGTCATTACAAGTAAATTATTGATTTAACATCATTATTACACTTAAAGTATTCAAAAACCCAACGTTTTAATTGTTTAATTGAAGGGTACTAATATGTGATGATTTTTAGTTGTGTGAAACACCGACACAAGTAATTTTTGAAAAAAAATTGATATTTTTCAAATAAACAATTTAATATAATATAATGTCAATACAATCTAATACCGTACCATAGTGAGGCATGTGAGAAAAAGTCTCATTCTGTATTATATTCATTTAGTTTGAATAATTTAATACTATTTTGTTAGYAAACAGCTTACAATGTTGCTGAGAGGTCGAATCAATGTGTCACATATTGTATCTGCAAATCTGTTGTCTCGGTCTCAGTCTTACAAATACTTAAAAGAAAATTTGCGATATACCGTTCTTATTTAACTTCATTAATTTTTAAATTAGAATGAATTTACTTAAGGTGTAACAATACATCAAGTGGTTTGTTGATTTTTCCAACAGTTTTTACGATATTTTGATTTTGAAATCAGTTATTGTCGTGTAAAAATTAAATTTTAGTATGTTACCACAGAATTTGTTATTAGTTATTACCCTTAAATTTGATGATTTGTAAATTAACTTAAGAAGTCTCATAGGTATTAATTAGCTACAAAATTAAATGTTAATTTTTTACGTTACACCACATATGTAAGATACAAACACCGCTTGAGGTCTTTTACAATACTTCTTTATTCATAAGAAACAGGTTTACAGAKCGGAAAAAAATATTATATTTTTTTATTTTGAAGCTAATTTTAAAAGAAAATCTTGATTGGATTGAATCTATATTACAATTTGCTTAACGGATTTTCTTTATAATTTTTTGTGAGAGATTTGTATTGTGTTTAAAAAGGATGCTACTCGTGTATTTGTCGTATCCCGGTATCCGTCTTACCAAACGTTGTTGGCAAACTATCGTTCRCTATTTAGTTTTAATAGTGTTTCGTTTGTTTTTGTTATAATGTAACCTAATATTAAAATTTTTAGGTTATGACATTATCGGCGCATCAGTTTTGTATTCGATATTTTATTTTTTAAGCGAATACGASCATTTTTTATTCATGAAATTTCACATACTTGCATGCTACTTGAAAATAATAATGTTCATACCTAAAAGTGTGATAATAAGTCTAATAAAACAATCTTAATAGCACACAATTTTAATTAGTGTGCGAAAATGTGGTATGCTTACGTTTTAAGACATTTATTTATATACTGTACTAAGACAGATAACAAACACTTAGGCAGTATCGTATTCATAATATTATGTTTTGACTTTTGGCGTCATAACTAAAATTGATAGTTTATCGTAATTTTATCATTGAAATTGTAATATCTTTAAGACTAAAGCAAATTACAAGGTATAATTATATCAGGGTTTTTAAAGTTTGTGTCTTAAACGATGAAAAAACCTGTTTGAATCATAATATAAACCTGTTCTAATTGTATATCTTAACATTCTTAACCCTGGCTCTAATAATAATTTAAATATCAGAAATCAATTTCTGCAATAATATTATGTTTAATAAGCGTTGTCCAATTTATATAATAATCCGTTTTAAAAAATGTAAATCGTTTTATGAGTTAAAACGCTYGCACTAGTTAAAGATATTAAAACTGATTTAATTTCAAACCGTTTTAACACCATCATATAAACGTAGTACATAATGTTTTGTGTTAGTGGAATAATTTTTTTATAAATACATTTTTTAAATTTTATATGTTTATTTAAGATTTATTTCAAAAATAGTTGAGATTAGACATATTGGTATGGTTTGACCATAATTGTTAGTATGTTTTAAAAATCAAAATCTAATAAGAAAATAAATGGTATAATAGAAAGATAGTATAATCGTTAATGAGGACTCAAAATTTGTTGTTTAATACATTGTACATAAATTCTATTGGATTTTTTCATTTGATATTATTTTACTTGTGATTTTTAATAATATTGTATTAGACCTTGAAATTGAAGAATTGTATACGCTACAGATTTAATACACAAATAGAAGGYACTTACTTAAAATTTTAGAATTGTAGGTCAGAGGACATTAATCAAATGTCTTAGGAATATTAAACTAATAATTATTTTAATAACTTAAAAAAAGTGGTGAAATTGAAGAATATAAATATATTATAGAACATATCTCTTTAAAAAAGTCTGAACCAGTTAGTGAATTGTTTCTTGCAGTGCCAATATTTGTGAGATGATTTTTGTGATCTGAATTATTATGTATCAGTTACAATAATTATTAATTATTTATTGTTCTATCATGTAGGTATTATTTATGATTGCCTTAAATTTAAGATTAGACTATCGAATTCATTAAATATTGATAACGGTCATTGATTAAGTTCTTTTATTCCGTTTTAATTATTATTCATGCTTAAGATTAACTGCGATTTAACAATAAATTCTGCTACCTATTTAAATATACAAACACAAACGCTATAAAAACAATTTTTTATATAGCAAGCTAGAAAGGATACAGAAACCGAACACTAGTCTATACTCGTCAAGTTCAATCATTTGATACAAAATCTATGTTTTAATACATCATTTTAGTTGAAAAATGATTTTTAATAGTACATACTAGGTTATAAAATGTCTTCTTTATTTTTATTTGGAGAAAAGAGATAAACTATTGAAAATATTTAATCATAATTAATATTCGAAGTATCTAATACTGTGTAGCCTCGATTTACGATCTGTTATGCAATTTTATCAAATCTGAAACGCAGTGCTCGGATGCTCGGAAGAAACTCGTTCCAATGATTTCGTTTGGTTTTAATTTTGCAAGATCTTAATTGGAACTTGTAGTTCCTTTTTCGTTTAGTGAAAAAATTGAAATTTTGTTAATTTTTCTTGCCGATAGTGAATTTAAAACATTTTATGGCAAAAGTTTATATTAWCATATATATTTTAAATTTAGTCTGTATTATAATAAACTGCCTATATAATTAAACCCATATATTATGACAATATACCTACGTTAATATTGTCAATGTTAACAAAATATGAAGTCAGTCACTAGGGCAGCTTTGCCCCCTAAATATTTGTCTAGCCCTCCCAAATATTATTATTATTATTATTATTATTTCAGTTATTATCAATGTATAACATTTCGAAAACAAAATATACACGAGTTAAAATTCTAGCCCCCTCCACCAAAAAAAAAAAAATTCGACCTAGTTGCGGCCTCTGCTGTCACGGTGTGTTCTTATCGGTCTTAACTTGCATGAAATAAACAATTAAACATTTTAAATATAAAACAGCTAGAGCTAGGTATCTAATTTAATAATTAATTACTAAAAAGTTTTACCTAGTATAATTTTAAAATTATTGAAGAACAAAACATTATTTTTATCTTTAAGGCTAAGCTATACCCGCATGTGTTGTCTCTTTCTAAAGTTTAACCTTTCCCACACACTGCATCGGTAGCGATAAAATTCTTTTGTCTTGGCATTGGCGGTAAATTGTGACCGGCTTAATTTTACCGTTACTGCGTCCAATGGTAATCGCCACCGCTGCAGTGTCTGGAGACCTTAATAAAGCCGGTAAAGTAGGGGTCTTCCACCTTTTTATGCAGTGGRCCACATATCATTTTTTTAAATCTTGCGGGCTGCATTCGTAGTAAAAATATGTATTTTATATAAAAATTCAGTTTTATTTTAACAATTTTTAAAATTAGGTAGGTAAGTAGGTACATTTAAAATTACAAATTATTATTATTATTAAAACATGTATAGATAAACATTTTTTTTTAAATTACAAATGTTTTATATCGCATGTTTCCGTTAGCAATAGCTCAACTGTTATAATTTTATTGAACTAGAAAATGTACATGCTCAATGTAAAATATGATCGTAGGCCGCATATTATGACAGGGCGGGCCGCGGTAAAGCATTACGATTGTCGATTATTCGCCAAGTACACAAACCTGAATAACTTTTGGATTCTGAGCGGAGCGATGAATGTATTGATTTTACCATGATGTGTGTTTTTATTTTTATTTTTTTTGTGTCGTGTCATCACGTTTTGGAGCAGTAAAAGTGCTTCGATTTTTTACCTCAGTACCTYGTTCGATCAGAAAGTGAATCTAGTTGGTACTTTGGGAAGTCAAAAGTAAAAAAATTCAATATTTTTCTAAATAATCGGGATAAACTAAAAATTTATAAGCATCATAAAGATTAAGGGAAAAATAACGGGAAATTTTACGCACAATCAGTTTTCGACAAAATCGATTTTGGTTTTTGATGTAACTTTAAAACAAATGACCATAATAGATACATGAAATTTTCACCGAATATTTATATTCTATCCACAATGCAATTTCAATTGCAATCAACAAATTTCGACTTAAGTTGAATTATTTATAAGTAATGCAATTTTCGATAATTATTAGTTTTTTTTWAAATTAATATCGATTAAAATTTATTTGTTGGGTAGAAAAGCTTGACAATTTAATACAATGCTCCTAACATATTGTTACAATAGGAGTTGAAAAATAAAATCAATTCGCTGTCACAAATTTTTTTATAAGCATTCAAAGTTTGAATTTTGACAAAATACGTAAAAAATTCACAAATTATTTTAAGCTAGAAATTCATAAAAAATTTCTTTTTAAATCTAAGATTTGAAAATTTAATACAAGATTCCTTACAAGTTTGTTAATCTTAATCACAAAAAAAAAAATGTCCACCAGAAAGTCAAATTAAGTTTTTATGAGTGTTTGAAATTTAAATTTTGACAACATTGGTTTTTCACTAGAATTTTCATTTAGCGATTTTCTTATTTTGGTGTAACTCTTGAACAAATGACCGCAGATACTTTAAATTTTCACTCAATGTTTATATAGGAATTTTCTATATTTGATACAATTTTCAAAATATTTAGATTTTTTTTT